TTCTTCCTCATCCTCTTCTTCTTCCTCATCCTCTTCTTCATCCTCATCCTCATCTTCTTCTTCTTCCTCATCCTCTCCTCTTCTTCTTCTTCATCCTCATCCTCTTCTTCTTCTTCATCCTCATCCTCTTCTTCCTCATCCTCTTCTTCTTCCTCATCCTCTTCTTCTTCTTCCTCATCCTCTTCTTCTTCTTCCTCATCCTCCTCATCCTCTTCTTCCTCTTCCTCATCCTCTTCTTCTTCCTCATCCTCTTCTTCTTCCTCATCCTCTTCTTCTTCCTCATCCTCTTCTTCATCCTCATCTTCTCTTCTTCTTCCTCATCCTCTTCTTCTTCTTCCTCATCCTCTTCTTCTTCTTCCTCATCCTCTTCTTCTTCATCCTCTTCTTCATCCTCTTCTTTTTTTTTTCTTCTTTTTGTCTTCCTCTTGCAGGTCACTGCTCATGCGCAGATTTTTTATTGGTAAAAAATCAGCCGATTAGCCCATTAATGCCGCGAAAATCGGCCGATCGGCCGATTTTTTTCCAACTTCACCAAAAAAAAAAAAACGGCCAAAATCCCGAAAAACGGCCGACCAAATCGCCCACTAACGATCCGAAAATCGGCCGATTTTATTTTCGGCCGACAAATCGGCCGATTTTCGACCCATCTATGGCCTGCATTAGTTTTTGTTCTTTTTGAAGAAGGGCTGCATGCATAATGGGGGCGGGGTTATTTCTTGACCTCACAGGTTTGATGTCTGGTGTAGTGATGTAAGATTTATTTCCCCCCGTAATGACATGTTCATTTCTGAGAGTTTTGCTTTTGTCTGACAGAAGATTTAGCTATATTTATTCTTGTATATTTTTGTTTGTTTATTGACTGCAAGACTTTTAATAAAGAAAAATTGGAAATAATCCTCCCCCCCCCCCCTTTATGTACACCTAACATGATCATTGGCGGTCAAACAGAGATGTTCTCCCCAGGGGTGGACTGACCATTTGGAAACTTGGGCACTGCCCGAGGGCCAGGGGTCAGTAGGGGGCCCCATGAGATGCCCCTAGCACCTTTTTCATAGGCTTTTTTGAGTTTGGGCAAGGACACAGGGGCCCCATGATCCCCTATTGCCCGGGGGCCCCATGAGCTGTCAGTACACCCCTGGTTCTCCCTATTCTGGTAGTCAGTGGAAAGTATGCCCTGTAACATTGGCGGTTATTAGGAAGAATGCCCATTACACTGGTGGTCAGAAGTGATTCTCTTGGGTGTCAGTGCTAGGCCAATGAGCTGTAGGTCAATGATGTCACAAGCCTCTCCACCCCTGGCCCAGCAATGACAACCAACTTCTGGGTTTTGGCTAAGCCCAAGCTCATCCCCAGTGGTCAGCATAGTGCCCTACTACACTGAGTGACAGTGGGGAGAATTCTCCATACTTTGGTGGTCAGTGGAAAGAACGTGGCTTAGAGCAACCCTTCTCAAACAGGTCTTCTTCACACTCTAAGGTTCCTCCATGGGTTGGTTGGGGTTCCTTGAGCAGTAGTGGACTAAACTCTTACCTGAAGGTAACCACATAGTTCTGGCACCAATGCCACCTGGCAGAGGGGTTAATGTGAAGCGGATTCTAAACCGGAGCTATCACCTAAGATAATGTAACCCTCTTTTGGGGAAGTTATGAGAAATGGCCCTCCACAGTGCCTCCACCCTGGAAAGGGAGAGGAGATTACCTTCATGAGAAATTAAAGCAATAAAAAAAAAAGTGTCCCCCGCCAGTTCATCCCATAATGTGCACCGCATACTAACATATATGACACACGTACCTGCACATGGAGTGCATCAGCGCAGCACTGTAACGGCTCCCCCGGTGCTCCATCTTCATCTGGTCTTCCATTGGGGTTTGTGGACTCCAGCCCTTTGAATGGCCGGGGCTGCAATGACATCACTCATGTGGGGGAGCCCCAGCCGTGGCTCGGCGCTCTGCATTTAACAGCTTACTATGTGTCCTCAATTCAGAGCTGATTGTAAACTTCACTGTAGGTACAAATTAGGAAAGGGACTTTAACCTCCCTAGCGGTCTGATTATTTCAGATTTTTGGTGCTGAAAGCGGTACCATTATTTTGCATGGAAATATGTCGTTTTTTTTATTGTAGGCTGTAATTTTTAGGAATAACTCACTGAAATCTGTCCGAACAAGAGTCTAGTAAACATCCCAGGGAGGATAAAATTTGAAACACGAAATCATAAATTATAATTTAATAAATAATCATAAAAAATAATAATATAATAATAATACATTTAATTCAATAATATAATCAAACCAAAAACACTGAAATGTGAAATAGAGCGCAAGTTCGCACATCGCTGAGCTCAGTCGCAGAATCGTTTTCAGTGTCTGATGAGGAATTTCACCCACGAATCATTATCACTCAATTCTGCAAGTGGTTCTGATTTACTATCGCTGTTTTCTAGCCGGTCTAAAACCGCGTCTGACCTAAAGGGACGCTTTTTGGACGCCATGGACTTTTCTAAGTTTCCAGGCAGAAAGAACAAAATGCAGGCAGGGCGCCGGACAAAGCACTCGGGACACAATGTATGTGAAATGGTTTGAAACAGCAATGTTTTACTATGTAAAAATTCGTTTTGAAAAAATGACATTTTTTAAAAATGTTCAAATTTCCCGCTGCCGGCGGCGCCCGTACGTCCCGACGTCACAGGGACCGGAACACAGAAGCCAGATGCCAGCATCAGCCGGAGGAGATGGCCGGGACGCTGCAGGGGACACATCGCGGGAGCGAAGGACAAGGTAAGTGCTGGAGGGACTCCCTGACCAACGCCGCATGGTAAGCCGAGAGTGTAGCTCGGGGGGGGGGGGGGGGTTACCGCTTTTGGTACAGAAACTTTACCCCGAGCTACACTCGGGAATACCGCCAGGGGGGTTAATACCACATTAACCAGTAGGGATGAGCTGCATGTTCAAGGCGAACATAAGTTCGACTCAAACATGGGCCGTTCGTGTGTTCGGCAAACACAGGAATGGTACAGGCGTTCGGCAGGCTGTTCAGCACTGTGCCCCACAATGCACTGAGCCCTCATAGTGCATTGTGATTGGTCAAAGCAACCCCCTGCCCCCTTGTGACGTCATGACAGTATATAAGAACTGTCATCGTGGGTGCAGCTGTCAGACGATGGGGGCCGGTATGGAGAGCGTAGTGGGTTTTTTTTTTTTCTTTTTTCGGGTAGCGGCAGCGACAAGCATCGTGATTGACCTTGGATCTAATTCGGGGGACATTTTTTTAATTTTTATTTTTAATAAAGGACTTTTCAAGGACCATCTCCTGTCTTTTTTACACTACACCTTTTTTTTTGTGAATGGGTAGCGGTAACATGTACCACATACTCATTCACATAGGGGGGTAGTCAGGATCTGGGGGCCCCCTTGTTAAAGGGGGCTTCCAGATTCCAATAGGCCCCCCTTCTGCAGACCCTACAAACACAGGCCATGGTTGTGGGGAGGAGGCCCTTGTTGTGGGGAGCCCCCCAAAGCACCCCCCCATGTTGAGGGCATTTGGCCTGGTATGGTTCAGGAGGGGGGGGGGGCTCTTGCTCATCCCCCCCCTTCCTGACCTTCCGGGCTCCATTCTCGGATAAGGGTCTTGTTTGGATTTTGGGGGGGCGCACCATGTACTGTGTACTGCATACTCATTCACATAGAGGGGTAGTCAGGATCTGGGGGCCCCCTTGTTAAAGGGGGCTTCCAGATTTCAATATGCCCCCCGTCCTCAGACCCCTACAACCACAGTCCATGGTTGTGGGGAAGAGGCCCTTGTTCCCATCAACATGGGGACAGGGTGCTGTGGGGGTGAGATCCCCCCAAAGCACCACCCCATGTTGAGGGCATTTGGCCTGGTATGGTTCAGGAGGCAGGGGGCTCTTGCTCATACCCCCCCCCCCCCCCCTTCCTGACCTGTCGGGCTTCATGCTCAAATAAGGGTCTATTATGGATTTTGGGGGGGAGCACCATAATATACCATATAAAATATATAGGAGGATATACAGGGACATACAGGGATATTATAATATATAGGAGGATATACAGGGACAGGGATATTATAATATATAGGAGGAAAATACAGGGACAGGGATATATAATAATATATAGGAGGATATACAGAGACAGGGATATTATAATATATAGGAGGACATACAGGGACAGGGATATTATAATATATAGGAGGACATACAGGGACAGGGATATTATAAAAAATATAGGAGGACATACAGGGACAGGGATATTATAATATATAGGAGGACATACAGGGACAGGGATATTATAAATATATAGGAGGACATACAGGGACAGGGATATTATAATATATAGGAGGACATACAGGGATATTATAATATATAGGAGGACATACAGGGACAGGGATATTATAATATATAGGAGGATATACAGGGACAGGGATATTATAATATATAGGAGGATATACAGGGACAGGGATATTATAATATATAGGAGGACATACAGGGACAGGGATATTATAATATATAGGAGGACATACAGGGACAGGGCATCCTGCTGTGAATAGTGCGATATTAGGATTTACAGAGGACTTCTCAGACCATATAAGCCCCCCGGTGCCCAAACTGTGGCCCTTGGGACATGTGCAGACAGTAGTCTGTGTCCTCCTCCCGTTGTTCTCACAAGGCCGGTGATGTAAAATATTCTTTACACTGACTTCTAGCGGTGAAATGATTTGGATTATTCCTTATTTTCTTCTGTGCTGTCCATTATTTTCTATTATATTTTTCCTCTGATCTTTTATAATGGATCTTCCTTAGAGAAATATCAAATGTGATACAATCATTATTAATGGAGGGGAGTGAATGGAGCTGTAATAGAAGTGATCTCTAATAATCTCCTGTGATGTGTCTCCAGTCTAAGTGTCTCCTGAAACAGTTCTCTAGTCCCCCCCAGAAACTGTCTCCTGTACAATGTCTGCAGTCTCTGACCATCTCCTGTAGTATGTCTGCAGTCTCTGGTCATCTCCTGTACTGTGTCTGCAGTCTCTGACCATCTCCTGTACTATGTCTGCAGTCTCTGACCATCTCCTGTACTATGTCTGCAGTCTTTAACCGTCTCCTGTACCATGTCTGCAGTCTCTGACCATCTCCTGTACTATGTCTGCAGTCTTTAACCGTCTCCTGTACCATGTCTGCAGTCTCTGACCATCTCCTGTAGCATGTCCTCAGTCTCTGACCATCTCCTGTACTATGTCTGCAGTCTCTGACCATCTTCTGTACTATGTCTGCAGTCTCTGACCATCTCCTGTAGCATGTCCTCAGTCTCTGACCATCTCCTGTACTATGTCTGCAGTCACTGACCATCTCCTGTACTATGTCTGCAGTCTTTAACCGTCTCCTGTACCATGTCTGCAGTCTCTGACCATCTCCTGTAGCATGTCCTCAGTCTCTGACCATCTCCTGTACTATGTCTGCAGTCTCTGACCATCTTCTGTACTATGTCTGCAGTCTCTGACCATCTCCTGTAGCATGTCCTCAGTCTCTGACCATCTTCTGTACTATGTCTGCAGTCACTGACCATCTCCTGTAGCATGTCCTCAGTCTCTGACCATCTCTTGTACTATGTCCGCAGTCTCTGCTCATCTCCTGTAGTATGTCTGCAGTCTCTGACCATCTCCTGTACTATGTCCGCAGTCTCTGCTCATCTCCTGTAGTATGTCTGCAGTCTCTGACCATCTCCTGTACTATGTCTGCAGTCTTTAACCGTCTCCTGTACGATGTCTGTTAAGGTGAGTGTCTTATCTCTTGCTGGGGCAGGGGGAGGGGGGTTTGCCAGTGTATGGGGAGCAGTGGTAGTGGAAGGTGGTCTCGGGTGGGGGCAGGGGCTGGGCGTTGTTGGTCAATGTCAGGCTCTCTTTGTGGGAGAGGTGGGTATTGGCTGGTGTCAGGGTCTCTCCATGGGGGGATGGGGGTGGGGGGGAGCCAATTTTTCTGTTGCCTAGGGCACCACAAAACCTAAACACACCACTGTGAGCACCCATGTGTCAGCAATCAGGCCTGATGAATGGCCATTCATTGTTGGGGCTAGTGATGTGTTCCCTAAAACCTTGGTACCTTTTGTGGCTCTGGCAGTGGTTTCGATGCCGGGAAACGGTGCAGTAAAGCAGAGGTTGCATCGAGGTGGACGTGCCATTTATACAGACTGTGCAAACTGCACAAGGGCCCTCTGAGAATTATGGATCTATCTGCACAATTTGGGTCTATCTGCACAAGTAGATGAAGTATTCTTCATGATGTCCTTATTGTTGACATCAGTAAATGCTTGAGAGGAGGGGGTTCAAAAAGATGTTCCCATACAAAGGTCGCATACATGCCAACTGTTCCAGATTTGCCATGAAAGTCCCCTGTCTTGGGCCTCTATCCCACCAATGCTGTGCCCCAGGCAATGTCCCAGGATCACAGCATCCACCATATTTGAGTGCAGTCGGGTATACTACCAGCTGCATGTCCCTCTCTACCTTTGCTTCCCTCTCCCCATTGTCAATGTGCTGCAGCAGCCGCCTCTCTCCCTTACCTTAGTTGAGCTAACCCCTCAGGGGCCGCTGAGTAATTTTGAAGCTCAATTTGGAAGCTCAACCCCTGCTGACACCACCTTAAAACTCTGGCCAGAAGAATTCTCTGGCTGCCGCCATAAAAATAGAATTAGAGTGAACTAATATTTTGGGTGTATTGGGATCAACTGTAGTCACAGTAAAGCAACAGGAAACTATGTGCATAAGCAGGGGCGGACTCATGGGGCCCCCGGGCAATAGGGGATCATGGGGCCCCTGTGTCCTTGCCCAAAACTCAAAAAAAAGCCTATGAAAAAGGTACCAGCAGCATATCATGGGGCCCCCTACTGACCCCGGGCCCTCGGGCAGTGCCCGAGTTTCCAAATGGTCAGTCCGCCCCTGTGCATAAGACAACAGCTGTAACTTCAAGTAAAGATCACAACATAGCATAATCTCAATCAGTTCTAGATATCCCGCAATTCAGAATTTAACCAGTAGCCTCAGTTCTGAAATGTTTCTTCCCTCAGTGAGCAGAGAAACTACCAAACTGTGCAGCTAACTCACTTTGGGCTCTCAGAGCCTGATGTCAGGGCTCAGTTCTGAGGCAAAGAAAGAGCTCTTTAAATGAATAGGTAATGTCCCTTTAAACTGCAATATACGGTCTTCTGCGCGCTTGATGGGGCCCAAGTTGGTCCCGTTTAAGGATTCAAATCACTTTAAAAGCAAAGGTGGAAGTTCCTTAATAAAGGTTGAATGCCACATAAAAGCACTGCCCCTTTAGGTGATATTCAGCTTGGGCAGCACTCCATTAAATGGTGTTAACTTTGGATGGTGTCTTCTTTAACACACATAGGATAAGGTATCAAATCTGGCAGTAAGCAGAAATGGACAAAACATATTCCTGTGGAGTTGGGTTCTTCCTTAGGCCACAGCGGCAAACTTCAGCAATGCAGGAGCTCCTTGGCAAATGGGCGGACTGTAATGGGAGAAATAATACAGCTGGGCCTGCAGATGGCAAATAGTGCAGTAGGCCTCTGTGACTGGATATGCTGGAACTGATATAATTAGTAGGCTGAACAACTTAGGCTTCATATACACGAGCCTATTCTGACCGCCGGCCGCTGGGAACCGAAAATCAAGGCAAGAACGCGGTACCGTGGTTGCAGCGTTTTGCCGTGTTTTTACAGCGTTTTGAGTTTTCCCCTGGTCGTTGGTCAAAACATTCCTATTCTGAACACGATTCTTTCATGCTCAGGAGAGAGAGGTTTATCCTCACCTAAACACGGCAGCTCTTAAATTCTGCTAAAAGCCCGTGTGTACATGGAAACGTAGGCTTTTATGGAGTTGAGTCTAGGAGTTTTGGAAAAAAAAAGTCAAAAGCTCCTAAACTGGAGTTTAGCAGTTGCTGGTGTACATGAAGCCTTAGGCCTTAACACATGTAACTTGAGGAATGATAGTAATCAAGCTAAGTAGAGATTACTTGGTAATGTCATGTAGAACTTAGATGGCTTGAATATGGAATTCTCTCACCAAATCTGTGGTCTCGGTCAGGTGGTGAAAGTCTCTCTGTAGATGAGGGCCACCGTTTCCTCGTGGTTCCTCCTTCAGAGATCACTCAGGACAGCAGCACTCCAGTCCTCCCAAGGCTGTTTGCCCAAATTGAAGCGGTGTCAGCAGTCAGCAACACTACTTCTCTCCTCCACTCTCTGCAGTCGGCCCAGGTGGGGCCTCCGGCATCCCAGACGATCCCCTCGTCACACTTGATCTCCAGCATTCTCCCCGTCCACTTCCTGTCCTCTGGTTCCCAGGCTCCTGTATTTATCTGCCCCCACCCATTAGCTAGCTCTTCTAGGAAATGTAGTTTAATAGCTCCCTGTCAAACAGTGAAATCCTGCAATTGAGCCTACAAATCCCACAAAGTTTCACAAAGAGTCTGTGAAACTGGGCTGCAGGACACTGCCATCTTGTGTCCATTTAACATCCTGCAAATAGTATTTCTGCAGGGTGTTACAGCTTCCTTGCTGTGTGAGCTGAGCGGGCTTTGTGTGAAATCCCCCGCTTGTTGCTGCCCTCTCCCCAGCAGTGAACTTGGGCCAATCAGAGAGCTTGAGCCAATTGGAACATCAGAGAGAGGACTTGCTGTGCAGCAGTGGATCATGGGATTTGTAGTCTTTAAAGGGGAAATGCTCAATACAACTGAATGGAGGCTAGTGGCTGCAGAACTACAAGCAAATGATTCCTTGTATATAGAGGAGAAGAGATACAGCGTTTTCCTGATTTTCTGAGCTAGGGCAGACCAGCAGAGGGTACAAGACAGGGCAGACTCAATGCTGGTGTCTGCACAGGACATCAGGCACATATTGTGGGGATATCAGTCTAAGCTGACCTGTGCTGTGTTTGCCTACACTAAAGACAAAGCTGTGAGGACCCAAGTGAGAGACTGAGCCACAGAGAGAGTTGCTGTGCCTTTGAACCCGAGCTGATGAGACTTGTTACTGTGTGTGCTTGCCTTAGAGAGGACCAGATTGTGTGGATCTGATCGTGAGTGACCAATCGTCAAGCATACTGGATTTGATTTTTTGCATACCAGGATTGGTGAGCGAAACTGACAAGTTTATCACCTCGCTGCCCACAGTCAATGCCAACTGAGACAGAGCCTTAAGTAAAAGACCATTAGCCATCTTTTGCAAACAGAATTTAAGAGACAAATACTCATGCACCACCTACAGAAGGGCCCCAGCAAAAGCCAGCCAACTGTGACACTTAGGTCCAAGGCACTTTAGACACCACCAGGGGTATCCCTTTGCCAGGAATGCATACACCCACCTGGTGCTGGAGCTGAATTCCTAGAGTGCACCCAGAAATATTATTTGAGTAGTTATTGCTAAGAATTGCAGTGAGGTTTATTTTATGCCATTCATGCTTAAATGGTTGATGCTATTCCTATTGTTACTGTGTGGGCCAGTGGAGTGGGGCTTATTCTTATTGCGATGCAGGTCAGTGGCCATAGGTACAGTTAATATTTCCGTCAGTTAACCTAATGAATTCTATTGTCCTGTTTATGTGTTCTTTTGCTTACTCTTCAATAATACATTCACCTTAATAATCCTCAAGTTGCTTGTGGTCTATTTTCTGTGTGCTGTCATAGAGTGGTAGAAGATTAACATTTCAGTTACACATGTATGAGTGACCTATAATCAGGTGTGTTGGGGCTGGGAAGCTGATATATATTCTATTTCTTAGTTTTGAGGTTATACAGAATATGCTTTAAAGTAGAACTGAAGGCAAAACACCAAAAAATGTTTTTTTTTCATTTTGGATATAGTAAGGGAGGGTTATAACCCCTTACATGTTAGTTTAAGATTAAACCACTTATCGTCCAACTTCAGAGAATGTCCAGTAGATGAAACAGTTTCTTCCTGGTACTACAGTAGATAGATTTGTAGAATGTGAATGATTTGTAGAATATGACCATATCCACTCTTACTTGCCTCTTCTCCAGGGAGAATGAGTGAAATTTTTGGAAGTTGCTCCTCATAACTGAGGTCCTCCTGCTTCTCATTATTTAGCTGGCCTTCTCTGAACTCATTCTAGTTTAAGAACATCCTTCCTGAGGATTGGTGTCTATTCTTCTTGTGAGTTGGTGACAATCCTTCCTGAGAGTTGGTGACCATCCTTCCTGAGAATTGGTGTCCTTTCTTCCCAAGAATTGGTGACCATCCTTCCTGAAGATTGGTGACCATCCCTACTGAAAATTGATAACTATCTTTCCCGAGGATTGGTGACCATGCTTCCTGAGAACTAGTGGGACCAACCATCCTTCCTGAAGATTGGTGACCATCCTTTCTGAGAATTGGTGACCAACTTTCCGCAGAACTGGTGACCATCCTTGCTGAGAATTAGTGATCATCCTTCCTGAGGATTAGTGCCCATCCTTTCTGAGAATTGGTGACCATTCTTCTTGAGGACTGGTGCAAAACTTTCCTGAGAATCGGTGACCATCCTCCCTGAGAGTTGGTGACTATCTTTGTGAGGATTGGTGACCATCCTTCCTGAAAAATGGTGACCATCTTTCTGAGGATTTGTGACCATCCTTCCTGAGAACTGGTGACCATTTTTCTGAGGATTGGTGACCATTCTTCCT